GGAAAGGGTCTTGTGCCCTCCTGCGTGTTCCTCCCCAATCAACCCCGACTGCATTGCTCCCCTGGCAAGCAAAAACCACGCCTCCGTCTCAGGGCACCGTGGAGCGCCCGCCCCCCCCGAGGGAGGACGGGGCGCACGAGGCCGAGGGGCGGGGGCCACGACGAGGGGGGCCGCGGAGCGGGCGCACACGCCGGACCCTCGGCGGCTCGGTCGGTTCGGCCGCGTGGCAGCTGGCCGCGCTGGGTCGGCCCGGTCTCGGACGGTGGTCGGTCACGCGCAGGGAGGGGGAGGAGGAGGAGGAGGAGGAGGAGGAGGAGGAGGAGGAGGAGGAGGAGGAGGAGGAGGAGGACGAGGAGGACGAAGAAGAGGGAGGAGGAGGAGGAGGAGGAGGAGGAGGAGGAGGAGGAGGAGGAGGAGGAGGAGGAGGAGGAGGAGGAGGGGAGGCGGGGAGGCTTCTTAAAATATTAGAAACACCCCTGCTTCTTAGAGGGCTCTCTCGCCATTTCTGCAGACGCAGGGCGGGCGCCTTCTCAGGAGCAGCCTCCTTCTGAGGAGCCTTCCCTCTTCCCTCAACCCCGGTCTTCACCACCTACCAAACCACCCCAACCCAACCCGAAGGCCTCAATTTGCCCTCCATTTCCAGTGGGGGGGGGTCGGGGAACGTTGAAAAAACACATGGAACCCGTACCCCCCCCAACCCGAAATTCGGGTCAAATTCGGGTCTTCGGGTTGGGTTGGGGTGGTCTGGTAGGTAATCAGGTCTGCTCGGCCGCGTCGCAGTCGGCCGCGCTCGGTCGGCCCGTCCCAGTCTCGGACGGTGGTCGCGGCGCTGCCGCAGGCCGCCAGGAAGCAAGGGCTCCCCCGAGGGCGCGAAGTTATTCGCGCTTCGCGGTCCTCGTTTCTCCTCCCCCTCCTCCTCGTCCTCCTTTTCTCCCTTTGGGGGGGCGGCGCGAGAGCGCGAAGTTATTCGCGCTTCGCGCAGCGCGAAGCGCGAAGTTGGGAGCCCTAGTCTGCGCCGTTTTGGGCCGCCATGGTGGCTGATTTTCCACCACCGCTACAAAAAGTAGCAGAGGGAGAAGGAGGAGGAGGAGGAGGAGGAGGAGGAGGAGGAGGAGGACCTCCTCATCCTCCCTTCTCCCCCGTCCTGCATATGGTAGTGGTGGTGGAAACTTTGCCCATCACGCCCTGCTCAGGATGAAAGGCTGGCCACGGGGGAAAGTCCCAGTGTCGAGGGCCCGTGTCCTTCCGGGCCCGCCTTCGTCGCGTCTGGCGTGGCCGCACCCCTCGGGGCTGCCTGCGGCCCGTCAGCTTCGGCAACCTCTCGTTCGCGTGGAGTCGGTCCGGCGCTGGCCTTCGGCCGTAGACGTCGCCTCGGGTGCTGCGTGAGCTTTCCGCCCCGCCGTGCCCAGGGCATGTTCACCTTCAACAAGGCCTCCAGCAAGGTCGCGGAGCCCTTCGGCCGCGACGCCGTCGTGGCGGTGGCGCGCGGCTCGGGCGGGGGTCTGCCCCTCGCGAGGTCGCGGCGGTGCCCTGGGCGACGGCTCGCCTGTCGCGGGGCGCGCCTGGGGGGAGAGGGGGGGGGGAAAGCTGGGCACGCTGTCGCCATGCCCAGATCTCCGACGAGATCTGAGCGACGCAGGAGGGCGGACTCGATGGCGAGGACGTCCGCGCGCAAGCTGCCAGCGTCGGGTCGCCGCAGTGTGATATCGCGTGAGAGTGACTGCGAGACCCACCCATTCTCGTCCCTGATGTTTGAAATTTGTTGTGCAATCGTGGCGCGTTCTTTTGTTCGGCCTCCAGGGTCCGTTACTGGGCCCGGGCGCCATCAAGCATGGATCCGGGACGACACACCCACTCCCGGGGGAAGGGGTCGGGATGGTGGCCGCAGATTTTGCCCCAAACTGCACTTAGGGATTCTTGGTTGTGTCCCAAACGGATTGGGCCGCGGTTGCGGTCTGGCAGGCTCGTCGGCTGTCGCCGCGTTGCTTTGCTTTGCTTTGCGTTGCGTTGAATTGCTCTGAATGGTTTTGCATTGTTCTGCAATGTTTTACTTTGTGCTGTATTGCTTTGCGTTTCTTTGCATTGCGTTGCATTGCTTCTCATGGTTTTGCATTGCTCACATAGGTGCTCCACTGGCTTAGTCGTCTCGCCACCGCAGCCAACTCCAAACGAGCGTGGCAATGCGGACCGCCGCAACTCTTATTCGGACCACGGGGCGGGCCGACAAAAAAAAACGTGCCAGGCAAGGAATTGAAACGGGCCGAGAGCGATGAACCGAGGAGGGAGAGAAGGGAGGGGGAGAGGAGGGGGGACGATGCATAGGAGGAGACAGACCAGGCCGACAGACGGAGGGACGGGGCGACGGGGAGGGGAAGCCGAGCAGGGAGAGAGAGGGGGAGAACACCGCGCACAAGGGCAAGGACACAACACAAGGGCGAAGCGGGGGGGGGGGGCACGGAGAAGAAAGAGGAGGACAGGAGGAGGAACCGAGGGTCATGGGCAAGGCAAGAAAGGAAGCGGGCCAAGAGGAGCAACCGTGCGCCAGCGCATCGGGAAAGCTACCGGCCGGCCTCCTCCTCTGACTGACGGGGGAAGACTACACAGGACAATGGCCGGGCCAGGAGAGGGAGGGGATGAGGAAAGGAGGAAGCAGGCGGAGGAACGTGGAGGACCAACTGGGACACCCTCAGTCTCTTTGGGCACCAGCCTCCTCTTGACGTCCCGCTTGCAGCAGGGTCGCCGCGCTGCTGACCTTGTCAGCATGGGCGCCGACTTTTTGACGGATCCTGGCCAACAGATCGCGTGCGTTCGCACGCATCAACATGCTGCCCGGGCATGTATCAAGCTCCAGAGCACGTCCTGCGCCGTCGCGCCCCGTCCGTCAAAAGATTCCATGACCATGGGGACTAGGCGGACGCCCAGTTGCTCGCAGCGTCCACCGGTATCTCTGTCTGCAGGATTTGCTCCATCGTACGACGTGGCAGCGCTCAGCTGTCTGGCGGCGGTCCCTTGCATTGCGGAATTTCTCAGACGCGACGTCACGGCAAAGCCGAGCGCCAGGGGCGGGCCGAGCGGCCACGTCGGAACGTGGACGTCTCCTGGCCGGTGGCGGGGGTCGCCCGGCCATGGCCCCCCTCGCCTCCCTTTCGGCTCCGAGGCCCGTGGCAGTCGCCAAGGAGTGGGCCAAGGCGTTCTGGACCTTGATCGCATCGCCACCCGCCGTTCGGGGGAGCGTAAGACCCGGGTTTGCCAGGACTCGGGTTCGCCATCGTTTTTTGACGACCGCGCCTCGGATTTTGACGAGGAGGAGTTTCGTGGGATGTCTGCAGCGGGAGGCCTCGTCAAAGTGCAGGCTCGGCCTCGTCATTTTTGTGACGACCTCGTCGGGGATTTCCGAGTCCCCTGTACCCGGGTCTTACGTCCCCCTGACCTTGACCGCATCGCCGCCCGCCGTGCAGCAGAGCGCGTGCAGGCCCTGCCCATCCACCACGGGGTCGCACTGCGGACGTCGCGCCTTGCCCGGAGCAGGGCAGGCCAGCCGCAGGCGCAGGGCCGCACAACAAGTTCGAAGGGGGGCCTGCGCGGCCCGAGGGAGCGCTGCGCGGCTGTGCCTGCAGCCATGCGTGTTGCGCGTGTTGCGCACTAGTATGCGCGGAGCCTCGCCTTGCGGGCGTCTGTCAGGAGGGGAAAAAACACACAGACACAATTGATCGTCCACTCGCAGGAAAATATGGGAAAATATGGGAAGTGGGGGGGAAGACAAAAACTCAAAAAATATGGGGAAATATGGGGGATATGTTTATTTGTGTGTATTTATTTGTGTGTCCTGGGACCTCTTCAGTCTGGCCTTGCAGCGATCAGCTGGTCCGCCCATTTTCATCGACAACGTCCGTTGGCCAAGTCAGCAGCCAATCCTCGCCCGATGCTCCTGGCGGACGCTTTCGCGTGGCACAGGTTGGCCGCTGCTGCCAGGGCGCCGCCGTCGCAAGCCCCGCCCCCAGAGAAGGCAACGTCGATCTGACCGCAGAAATGCCGCGTCGCCATGCGGGGGGCAAGGTCGGCCGCGGCAGCGCGTGAATTTCCGCGCCGGAATCCAGGCCCTCCTTCGCTCAAGGGGAGGGGGCGCCTGCTGCCACTGGTCCTCTTTCAACGCTGTGTCGGTGCAGATCTGGAGCGTCGACCTGAGATCCTGCTGGCTCTGGTCCAGACCTCGCGTCATCCAGTCAGGCTGCGTGGTCCGCAAAGTATGCGTGAGCCTTGGGGCTCCGAAGCATCAAGGCAAGCAATGCAGGGGCAACCCGGGCGCTTTCCAGCAAGGGCGCATCGTCGAGCTTCGTGGCCAGCTTCTGCGTTCTATGCGTGCTTTGCGCAGCGCTCCTGGCCACCGCTGGGGGCGCTAGGCAAGGGGGAACAACCGTCGGCTTTGCGCTGGACACTGGCAGGGAACGCGGACAGGTTGCATTCGGTGTTGCTCCCGGCCGCGGGAATAATCTGGCTCTTCTCAAAGTTCAACGTCGGGCCCAGGCTTGCCGCTCTTTGCTGCATCGGCTTCCAGGCCCGCGGCGGCGTCGCGGCGAATTCGCCGGCCGCGCAGAAGTCGTCGAGGTGCCCGCGTGCGATGTTCAAACCACCCTTGTTCGCCAGCTTCTACAGGGGAGGGCGAACGGCCGGCGAGAGCTGGAGAGGCCCATGAACACCGCCCTGCTGGACTCCTCTCAAGGGCGTCAGCAAGTGGCTGCCAAACAACATGTCCGCCTGTCCGCCGCGACGCCGCCTGGCCCAAGCCTCCAGACATGGCGTGCGTTATCCAATTTTGCAGAGAAAACAGACCGCTGCGCGCCGCTTAACGCATTCCGAGCATCGATCAGGCGGGGGGCTCTGTCCTGGGAGTGCTGGTGACAATTGGCATTGCTGAGTGGCGCGAACAACATTTTCCGTTCCCAGTGGGCTGGCCACGCCAATGTGCAAAGGCCAGAGCGGGCGGCGCGCGTCGGCCTCGGCGTTTGCGCGCAGCTTTGCCGGAAAGTCCGCGGAGGGCCCCCCGCCGCGATTGGCCGAATTTCGCCATCATGTTTGGGCGGGGCGATCAGCGAGGCGCCCGCGACATGCCGCGACAAATGTTGATCGGCTTGTCCAGGGCGAGCGCGCGGGCGACGGTCGGTCAGCGCCTCTGGGCAAGATGCTCGACCGAGGCTAGCATTCGCGAAGGCGTCGCGCTTGCGGCCCAGGAGGCCCGCTCGCTGAGCTCGCGGGAAAGGTTCTCAAAGCGGGCATGACATCCTTGTCTGAGAAATTCCCCCGCGCCTGGCGAGGCTCTGAGGTCGCGCGCGTCGGCCCTCGAGGTCGCTCCTTCTTCGGCGCCCTCAACTTTCTGGAGCTCGTGTCAGACGCCCCCTCGCAAAACAGCGCCCGGCGCGCCTGCTCGTCGGGGTCTTCGTCGGCTACGGCATTGGCGCGGCGCCTCCGCTCCTCGTCCGAAGTGGTCGTGGACTGCGGCGATCTAGCATCTGCGCGGGTGCGCCGCAACTCCGAGCGGTCACCGTGTGCCCATTGCCGCGAACTGTTTCTCATTGTTTCGCGTTGCTTCGCATTTCTGCGTTGCCTCGCGTCGCGGTGCATTGTTTTGCGTTGCGTTGCGTTGATTCTGCGTTGCCTGGCGTTGCTTCTCGCCGCTTGGATTCTCGTAGGACGCACCTTCCCCCTCCCCCCTTCAGGACTTGACGAGTCATTCTTCCGCATTACATTGATGCGATTCCGGCGCGTCGCCCGCCCTACCTCCGAGCGCATATCACCCCAGCCAAGCCGTCGTCGACCCGCCCCCCCTCATCCTCTGCAACGAGTGAGACGCGCGCGCTCGTTCATCAAAACCCATCAGGCTCTGAGAACCCCTTGCGGAAAACAACGGGACGAAGTGCGCGCTCGCGCGCCGTTGCGCGCGCGTGCCGAATCGCTCAAACGCTTCAGGTTTCGCAGGGGGTCCAAAAGCGCCCCCTCCCAGCAGTAGATGCATGCGCACAGTTTTGCAGCGAGAGTTGGCAGAGCAAGGAAAACTGGCGTTCGTGTTCTTGCGATTTCTTGAGAAGGCCATCGTTTTTCTTTTTTACGTGATGCCCAACGTGCCTCTCGCGCGCGCGCGTCGGAATCGCGCGGGCGCCGTTGCGCGCGCGCGTTGTCGCAATGACCCCTTGCAGAGAATTGGGCGGCGCGCGCGCGCGTCGTCGCGCGCGCTCCGTGATCCGCGCAAATCGTTGGGCGTCGTTGGGGTTTGCGAATCGAGGGCCCGAACACAGATGCAGAACAAACTGCGCCCGCGCTCCTGCGAACTTGTGGAAACAATCGGTTTTTCAACATTTTCATACACTTCTGCCGAGCTGGCCTCTCGCGCCGCGCCGCGCGTCGAAATCATTCGAATATCCTTGCGCGCGTGCTGGGTGCGGATGGGGGGGGGAGGGGGATGGGGCGATCCGTGCCATGTCATGTAATCCCATGCGGGCCACACGCGTGTCGGTCGCGCGCGCGTGTCGAACTTCGTCCGAAACCACCATTGCCGACGCGAGGACGTCGTCATCGTCCTCAGCGTGATCAGCATCGGCGCCGTCACCGGCCTTGCCGTCGTTGTTGTCATCATCAACACCAGCGCCGCTGCTACAATCATCGTGCCTACCGTTGTCGACGTTCATGATCCCGCGCCCGCCCAAGCCGCCGATTCAGAGAACTGCCCGCTGTGATCCACCTGGCGGTCATCGCCACCGCGGCCGCGTCAGTTGCCCAAACTAGCTGGCCGATGCGTGCGCGAGCGTGCGCGGGCTGGCGCGGCCGCAGACATGCACCAACCAACACCAAGCATTCATCGCAATCGCTGCCGCATGAGTTTTGCAAACCAGTTTGCGGGCGGGTGGAAAGGATGGTTGCGCTAGTAGAGGAGTTGACAACCCACATCGAACAAACGTTCAGTGCACCACCTAGAGTGCACCAGGTGCATTGCACAGACGCGTGGACTGCAATATCTCAGCACGTGTGGTCCACGCTGGCTTACAATGCCGGGTACTCTGACATTTGAATTCGATTCATATGGCCTACATCCAGTGGTGGTTGGGTTGGGGACATGGACATTTGTTGGTGGTTGGTGGTTGTGTTGTTTTAGATGACGATGATGTTCAAATTTGCACATTCGTGTGTTGCGCACTCAGAATTGAGGGCTTTGTGCACTTTGATGCTCACTTGGCGTTTTTGTGTATCTTGGCACAGCCGACCCCCCGTCCGCTCCGATCGGGCCCGCTTCCCCGATTCGATGCTGATTGATGCTTGGAGGGGAGGCTGCTGCAGCCTAGTAACCAGTTCGATGCTCTCCGCTGCTCTGTCGAAAATACGAGTTCTTTTTGTTCGCTGCTCTGGGAACCACGGCTGAAGGAAAACAGTTCGAGACAACGGCGGCTCACCCGCCCAGCCCAAATCCGCTCTGAATCAGTCCTCGGATCCCTTCCTGCCTCTGCCTCCTCGCCCCTCTCTGCCCTCCGTGCTTTATCCCCCTCGCCCTCCGTGCTCTCCTGCCTCCACCTCCCTCGCCCTTATTTCCTCGCCTCTCCTAGCCTCGCCTCGCCTCTCCCCGCCTCTGTCCATCCTGGCTCAGCTTTCGAGGCGCACCCGGCCGTGGTGACGAGAGACCTCCAGGATTTCCAGGAAGGGTTAACACAACCCGGCCTTGGGGGGCCGCCGCTGTCTCGACGGGGCCCTTTCTGGAGAGGGAGCTCCCCGAGGGGCAGAGCTCTCCGCGGCGTGGCCCGTGGGCGAAAATCATCTCCGTATCCCCAGCCTCGCGGGCCAGGCCCCTGGGCCGCGATCCCGTCGATGCGGGGCGTGTTTGGTCGCGGGTGCGCCATGCGGAACGTATCCAGGCGACCGCGTATTCGCGGGATCGCGCCACGGAATCCAGGCCGCACGGCTGAGATACGGATATGTTCGCCGATCGCGAGAGTTTTCTGCGGCGTGGCAGAGCAGACAGTTCAACTATTTGCAGGTCGACTATGCTTCACATCGACCTCCGCTGGGAAGGGGCCCAGATGGCGGTTGCGGCCGCTTTCGGTTCGTTCGGCCACGGGCCTTTGTTGACGAGGGGAGGCTTCGACCGAGGAGAGGGCGAGGCAAGGGGAAGAGAACGAGGAGAGGAGTGGGACGGGGGAGGAGGAGCGGAGGGGGGAAGTGGAGTGGGGATCGGGGAAGGGGAGGGGAAGGGGGGAGAGAGGAGAGGAGAGGGAAGCGCGTGACCACGAGGAGGACGAGGACAAGGACGATGAGGACGACGGCGAGGAGGAGGAGGAGGATGACGATGAGGATGAGGGTGAGGGTGAGGATGAGGGATGAGGGATTAGGGATGAGGATGAGGATGCGGATGATGATGAGGAGGAGGAGGATGAGGACGGGGATGAGTATTATGATGATGTTGTTGCTGATGATGATTATGATGATGCTGATGCAGATGATGATGATGATGATGCTGATGATGCTGATGATGATGATGCTGATGGTGATGCTGATGATGCTGATGGTGATGCTGATGATGCTGATGGTGATGATGATGATGCTGATGATGATGATGATGATGCTGATGATGCTGATGGTGATGATGATGATGATGATGATGATGCTGATGATGATGATGATGATGATGATGATGATGCTGATGCTGATGCTGATGCGAATGCTGATGCTGATGATGCTGATGAATATTTGATATTGTTATTCGAATGTTTTCCCACTTTTCATTTTTTGGCTATGATTTTGAGGATGCTGATGATGATGATGATGGTGGTGGTGGTGATGATGATGAAGAGGAGAAGGAGGAGGAGGAGGAGGAGGAAGAGAAGGTGGAGGAGGAGGAGGAGCAGGAGGAGTAGGAGCAGAATGGGGCTGGAATGGAGGAGAGGGGGAGATGGAGACAGTTTGACGAAGGGGAGGAGGAGAGGAGAAGGTGGTGGTGATGACGGTGGTGATGGTGATGATGTTGATGAGTGTGATGCTGGTGATGGTGATGGTGATGATGGTGATGGTGATGATGGTGATGGTGGCTGTGGTGGTGATGGTGATGGTGATGGTGATGCTGATGCTGATGCTGATGCTGATGCTGATGATGATGATGATGATGATGATGATGATGATGATGATGATGATGATGATGATGAAGAGGAGAAGGAGGAGGAGGAAGAGAAGGTGGAGGAGGAGGAGCAGGAGGAGTAGGAGCAGAATGTGGCGGGAATGGAGGAGAGGGGGAGATGGAGACAGTTTGACGAAGGGGAGGAGGAACAGCATCGGGAAGCGGATGAGAAGGAGGAGGAGGAGGAGGAGGAGGAGGACGAGGAGGAGGAGGACGAGGAGAGGGTTGGAGGAGGACAGGGACGAATCGCAGGAGATTTCTGGAGGAGGAAGGGGAGGGGATATGGATGAGCAGAAACAGGATTAGAAGAAGGTAGAGGAGGAGGAGGAAGAGGAGGAGGAGGAGGAGGAGGAGGAGGGGGAGGCAGGTGATGATGAGGAAGAGTGTGGGGAGGAGGTTTAAGTTGCTCGGTTGATCGTTGTGCTAGTTTTGTGGACGAGCGTCAATGATGCACATCAGAGTGCACACTAAGGTGTTAAATCTGGACGCAGCGAGCCCAAACGCCAACACGGTCAGCCTCTTCAGGTTCTATGTATGTTCTTTTCTGTGCGCGCAGGCTTTCTCAAGGTACATGTTGTGTTTGCGACAACAGTCAAATGCCTTGTGTTGCTGACTTGCTTCACGCACTCATATGCCCCGCATGGCGATGCGCGAAGTCACGGTCACGCGGCTGCCCAGCTATCAGAGTGCGAAGTCTCGATTCTTCGCGCCTCCGCCCCAGCCCATCCAGCACCGATTCGCAGGCGAACTGCTTCGAGCAGGGAAGCGCAGTCGTATACAGTGACACGACGTGGTGGTGGCTGGAGCCGTCGAACAAAAGAGCGTGTTTACAGCTCGCCCCAGTGCCCCGCTGACGCCGCCGGCCCCCATGGCGCCGCCCCCCCTGGCGCCGGCCCCGCCACGCCCACGGTCTGCTCTGAGCGGGCCGGGCTCCCTCCCCTCCCCTCCCTCGGCCGTCTCTTCGCCCCCTGCTCCCCCCTCCGGCATGGTGGCTGAATTCGCCTAGCGTTGCCCCGTTTCGCTTGACTCGCCAGCGCAGTCCCTCTGCTTAGCCGCCGACGCAAAAAGTTTACAGCCCACTCCTGCGGCCATTTCGCACGACCCCTGCTGGAGCCTGAAGCCGCCCGCACCACGAGCGAGGTGCTGCATGCTTTGAGCGCGGCGCCCTCCTACGGCCTCCGCGGCTGCTCGTCGTCGTCAACGTCAGCGTCAACGTCGTCGTCGTCGTCGTCGTCCTCGTCGTCTTCTTGAAAGTCGTCGTCGTCGTCGTCGTCGTCGTCGTCGTCGTCAACGTCGTCGTCTTCGTCGTTTTCGTCGTCTTCATCGTCGTCGCCGTCGCCGTCGCCGTCACCGCCTTCGTCTTCGTCGTCGTCGCCGTCGCCGTCGCCGTCGCCGTCGCCGCCGTCGCCGTCGCCGTCGCCGTCGCCGCCGCCGTCGTCGACGACGGCGTGTCGTTGTGGTGCGCCGTGAGCTCTCCTCCGCGGCCGCTCTCCTGCTTCTCAGCCTGCTCTGTGTGCGCAGGCGGAGCCGCCGCGCCAGGGCATGAAATCGTGCTCGGCGCCTCGTGCCCCGCGTCGCCGCCGACGGGAGACACGTGTTCTTCAGGAGGGGAAAACACACGGACAGAATTTATCGTCGATTCCCAAGAAAATATGGGAAAATATGGGAAGTGGGGGGAAGACAAAAACCACGAAAAGTTGGGGGATCTTGTTATTTGTGTATACTGACTTGTGTGTCCCAGGGCCCCTTCAAACACGTATTTTCTCGTGCCCCTCCGCTCTCTCTATCTCTCTCTCTCTCTCTCTCTCTCTCTCCGAGCTCCCCACGTCCCTCTCCTGTCGCCCCCTCTCGGCGGCGAGCGTGGGGGATAAGTGAGAATAAGAAGAAGACGGCCGTCTCGGGAGGCGGCGGGAATTCTCAGAAGCTGTTGCGCCTTTCGAGAAGTCCCCCGTGTCTCTCGGAAAAAGTTATAACACATCTCAGAAGGCCCGAGCCTTTTGAGAAAGCCCGCCCCGCCCCTTGGCATTTTTCCCACCAGGCTGGCCGCCAACACGCATCTCCCTCGTTCCTCGGATCAGGCAGGCCTACGGACAAGGCGCTGACACAAGGAGCAGCTTTGATTTGGAGGGGGCTCGATGTTCCTTAGGTCTTTCCATGGTGGTTCATCTAGCGCCGCTTGTGCACCCAAGCGCTGTCGGTGCCCACGAGGGCGCCATTACCCCTCTGGTGCCAGCGATCGTTGAGCAGCTTGGCTCCAGGATGATGACCGATCGTTCCAGAACGCTCCGAAAAAAAAAGGGCTCTGGAACGGCCGCGGCGCCCAGCGCATGCTCCCAGACCCGCCAGCTCTCGGAGACCTCGATTTCATCTTCACCCGCATGTGCCCTCGTCCCTGCCTTCGTCTTCCTCGCAGCTTCGATGTCTTGCCAGCGGCTTCTTTCTGGAACCGCCTGCGAACCCTGCGCCTGCGGATCTAATCGAAGCTGGGGTGTCTCACGCCTTCGTAGGTCTTCGCGTGCCTGCAGATGTCCTTCGTTTTCGGATTCCCCGCGAGTGTTTCCGAAACTCTGCGGCTTTCGGCTGCGCCCCCATTTCTTGTCACCTTATATGCCACGTTTCTGCGGCTTTCGGCTGCGCCCCTCCGCTGACAACGTTGGCGTCATGAGGAGCAGACAAAGGTTTCCTCAGAGGTCACCCTGGCACGTCAGCGAGCAGTCTGCAACCGGAGCGACCCTGCAGTTCGGCCGCCTCCTCCTTCTCCTCCTCCTCCTCCTCCCCTCCCTTCCTTCACAAGTAGTGCGGCTGTCGGCTGCGCCCCCCGCCAATCAGCTGGGAAGTATGCTACGGCCTTTGATGAGCGCCCGCCCTGGTATCCCCCCAGGGCGTCTCCGACCTTCGTCGCCGGCCCAACCACCTTTCTTCTACAAGGAAGCTGTGGTTTGACAGCACGGTGCCAGTGGCCAGCATACCCGCAGCTCGTCAGCTGGAAGCCACCTATATGCCCTGGCGGCGGTGACATCCGGCTGCTGCTCAGGCGGCGTGGTGGTGGGGAGTGGCTGTGGCTGTGCTTGTGGCTTCGTCAAGTTTGCGGCCCCGCATCGAGTGGTTCAGCCTTCCGCGGTTCAAGGTTGTCGCATTTCTTGGCGCAGATCAGCAGCCCAGGCCACCACCTCGCCAGTACTCGCATCTTTGTGCCCCCGAACTGCGTGAGTCGGGTACGATGTGCATACACTGGTTACCGGCTGGAGATGGCTCACCTCATGAACGCACACCAGTGGTCTACTCTACCGGTTGGCGCTCAGATCAGCCACCTCGTTGGAAGAGTGCGACCCCGCAGTGAATGGTTCAGCCTGCAGCCCGTGGTCGCCTCTTCAGCGCAGCCCTGGACACCAGCCCGCCGGTACTTCGCATCGTTGCCCCCCCGTACGGCGTGTGTCGGAGATGATGCGCACGCACTGGTTCCGGCAGGCAGGCGTTGGGCGTCGACAGCCATTCACCAGGCGACGCCCGATGCCTGGCCTCGCCCTGGGAGCGGCCCCGCATTGAGTGGTTCAGCCTTCTGCAGTTCGCGGTCGTTCCCTTTGGAGAGCAATCTGCGCAGCTTGTGTCAGCACTTCACATCGTTATGCCCCCGAACTGCGTGTGTCGGATACGGTGTGCGCGCACTGGCTTCGGGTGAATGAAGGTGGTCAACCTCGCGAATTCACACCAGTGGTTCGTCTACTGAAGGCTTCGACGCGGTCTAGCTAAATTGTAGCGTCAGTGAGTTTGATGAGACAGGCCTCTTTTGCCTCGCCATTGTTCGCATGGTATCGCAATTTGTGTGTGTGTGTGTTGGTCGCTCGCTCTCGCTTTCGCACTCCCAGCAGGGAGTCTGGCGCCGCACCGGCGACTCACTCTGCTGTCTTCGCACTTGCAGCTCGTTCACCTCGGTCACGCTGCTGCGCCTATGTGCGTTTGCTTGTGAATTTCGTTCATTTTGTCCTGTGCATGTGCAGCTGCGGGCGTGTCTTGCAGGTGCGAACTGGCTGCCGATAGTGGCGGCTGTGTTCGCAAATTCGCTCCGTGCCGCATCCCGGACGCTGCGTCCGCTCCCTGACCTTTGCCTTGGAGCCGTGAACCAACAAAGTATCCCCGCTGGCCCATCTAGATACGATGACCAGGCGAGTTGCAGACAACGACGACGACGACCACAAGAGCCAACCATAAAGCCTTCCCGGAGGTTCGGCTCCACGAGCCTTTTTTTCGGAAACCTCTTGAAGGCATCTTTGAAGAGCTCTTGGACCCATCTTGTGCGCCATTCTGGAAACCTTTCGGACCTTCTTGGGGCTCTTCAGCGCATCCTTGGCGTCCTTTCGGGACAACCTTGGGCCCCATGGCTCAAAGAGGGGGCAAACTATACTCCCCCCCCCTCGGAGGCCAAACAACATGCTCTTGGGGTCTTCTAGGACGCTTTTGGACCGCCTTTGGAGCCGTCTCGGGCCCTTCTTGCGGTTATGTTCGGTCATTTTGCGGCAATATTGAAGACTCAGGAGCCTTATCGAAAGAGAAACGGCGAGAAAACAAACATTCGCAAGTTTTCTTCAGCCTTTAGAAGAATGGTAGCCTCCTGGGGGGTGCCTACGGAATCACAAAGGGCATTTGGAACTGCCTCAGGGGTGTTTTGGAGCAGGCATCTTGCAGGTATATCGGAAACTACTTTGAATAACGTTGACGTACATTGGGCCACCTTGGATGGAGGCCCTATCTTGGGCTTTCTTGGGGTCATCTTGGGCCATTCTGGATTCTCCAATGGGTCGCACCCCCCCCCCCCCCGGCCAGACCCAGGGGTAGGGGCAGAGGTGAGGACGCCTCTCCCAGACGCAAACTGTTTGGCTCACTCCCACCCGATCTCCCAACACGTGCGTAGTACACGAGTCTCAGCATACTCAGCGGTCGTCTTTGGATGTGCAGCTGCTGGGAACCGATACAGGCCCCAGGTGCGCGCCACTGGGGCGAGGTGCGCCACGCCGGGCCCCATTATCCGCGTCGAGAGCCCGTGCGCAGTCGCTGTGGAGAGGTCATTCTGATGTCTGATGGGCCTGCGCACCGCAGGCAGTCTGCTTGTCAAGACCCCATGCAGCAGGGGATGTAGATTGCTCAGGAGTATTAGTGGTCAAGTTCCCAGCGAGGGCGCCGCAATATGTCTCGCCCACTCCCACGTGACGAAGAGTTTGCGAGCATGGTTTGTTGTGCGTGGGTGTGCGCCCGCAATCACTTTGCACGCGTGTTTGGCAGGGCTGGTGGTAGCGCACACAGCAGGCAATATGCCGACCCCCTCGCCTCCCTGGCAAAGTGCCCTTGGTCTCTTCGACTGAGCAGGGTGGTAGGCCTGTGCGCAGCAGGCAGTGTGCTGGCCCTCCGCCGCTCCTGCCAAAAATATGATGCGAAGTTGTTGCTGGGCGCCCACGCAAGATCCAGATTTGGCTGCAGAGAACACTTTGTATTGTCTTTCTGGAAGAGGTGTGTGTGTGGGGGGGCATCGCACACCGGAGGCGACATGCTGCCCCGCGCGCCATCCCGTTCAAAAAACAATGCAAAGTGATCGTGGTTCGTCCGCGTGTGATCCCGATTTTGATGAAACATGCGCTTCGTATGGTCATTGGTAATGGATGGTGGGGGTTGAGTTGGCAGTGCCGCGGGTTTGCCGCCTACCCCTCCCCGAACAAGGGAAGGAGGGGTCCTTGGAAAAAGGACAGAAAGCGAAATCGTTATACCACTTCCGCCCAGAGGGCCAGTGGGATTTGGCCTGCAGGGGGGTAGGGTTCGAATGTGGTCGCCTTCTCCCTTGGTCACTCCTACGGCAGGTTCGCGTCTTGTCGACCAGAGGTGACCCCGCCGCCGGCGTTCAACGTCAAACGCCGCCAGCGACCCAGAATCGGCCCATCGTTGAACGATCTGACGTTTCGGAACCGGCCGATCGTTCAGAGTTGAACGATCCCCGCGGTGTCAGGAACCAACGCCGGGGTCGGCATGACACGAACCCGTGGTACCACATCTGTAGCTCTTTCGCACCAGACCCCGACGCCCCACCCCCTCCCTCGTGGCCATCTCTCAGGGAATGATCAGATACCGACGCCGATGTTCCCCCTCCTCCACCCAGGGCCGACTTCGATTCGATCGATCCGATTTGACGTTCAGGTTACCTGTGTTGATCCGATTCGTTTTGGGATTTTCCGTCTGTCCGATGCGGCCCGGTGTTAGCACAGCGTATTTAGATAGTTATGTATCCAGGTGCAGCAGTTCCATGCGATTCCGATTCCGAGCTAATACGGCCAGATCCGATGCTCGATTCGATCAAATTTCCATATTCGATGCTAACTGACCTTTCCCTCCCTCTCCCGATCTCGGCCCACCCGAGACGGCCCGGTGTCGTCTGGTGTGTTCGGCTGCGCGTAAGAGCAGCCATTCGCCAGAGTGACCGTTGAACTTTGGGTGCTGGCCCACAGTGGTCTCCGCAGCATTGATTCGCGGGCTTGGATTTTCTCCCGCTCCGCCCCCCGTGGCCCCCTGACGCCGCGCACACATGTCACCCTCACCAAAGGGTCACCCTTGCGTTTTGCCGATGTGTTGTGGAGTCGTGTTTCCTGTCTTCTGGAGTATGTTAACACGCTGCTGTTGCAACGCGTCGTCGGTGGACAAAGCGTGTGTGTGTGCGTGTGTGTGTGTGTGTGTGCGCGGGTGTGTGTGGCCTGCCTTTGGCTATGTCGTTGATTCCTGGGTACTGTCTCCGGGACCTTTTGACTCGGACTTCTCTCTCTCCCTCTCCCTCTCTCTCTCTGCCGCGTTCCCTCAGAGCCTTTTTTGCGCCCTCTCTGTGCGTACGAGTGTACGATCATTCTGACCGCGGGCTCAACCGCCCCTTGTGATTGGCCGAGTCTGCAGCTCCTTCTCGTTATCGTGAGCCTCTTCCCTGCCATATCGTCCCAGTCCGCCTCGTCGCTGCCCGGCAGGGACGGGGTTCGCATCTGCCAGCCGCAGCCGATCCCCGACAAGTTGAAGGGCAGGCCACTCTTCCCAGCGGTGACGTTCCGAAACGTGACGGTGCACGTGAACTTCGGAGGGGATGGGCCGAGATTTGTCGGGAGGACGCCAGCAGCCCAGCTCTCCGAACATTCAGCAAACAACGTCTACATATATGCATATGTATGGTATGATATGTTGGTATGTGTGTATGCATGTATGTATGTATGCATGCATGTAGGTAGGTAGGTAGGTCGGTAGGAAGATATGTAGGTAGGAAGGTAAGTAGGTAGGTAGGCAGTAGGTAAGTAGGTGGGTAGGAAGGTAGGTAGGTAGGTAGGTAGGCAGTAGGTAGGTAGGTAGATAGGTAGGTAGGTCGGTAGGTGTGTAGTTGTGTAGGTGTGTAGGTGGGTTGGTGGGTTGATGGGTAGATGGGTAGGTGGGCAGGTAGGCAAGTAGGCGCGCAGGCATGTATGCATGTATACATGCATGTGTGTATGTGTGCATGCAAGCATGCATGTATGTATGTATGTATGCATGCATGCATGTATATATGTTTGTATGTATCCATGCATGTATGTATGTTTGTATGTATGAATGTATGTATGTATGTATGTGTGTACGTGTGTATGTTTGTGTGTGTGTGTGTTTGTGCGTGTATGCATGTATGTATGTATGTAGGTATGTGTGTATGCATGCATGCATGCATGCATGTATGTATGCATGTACGTATGTATGTATGTATTAATATGTGTATGTATGGAATGCATGCATGTATGCATGCATGTATGTATGTATGTATGCATGTATGTATATATGTACGTATGTATGTATGTATGTATGTATGTATGTATGTATGCATGGACGTATGTATGTGTGTATGTATGTACGTATGTCTGTATGTATGTATATATGTATGTATGGCTATATGTATGTATATGTGTATGTATATGTGTATGCATGTAGGTGTGCATGTATGTATGCATGGTTGTATGTATGTATGCATGTATGCATGCATGCATGCATGCATGTATGTATGCATGTATGTATGTGTGTATGTATGTATGTATGTATGTATGTATGTATGTATGTATGTATGTATGTATGTATGGAGTGCATACATGAATGAATGTATGTGTGTATGTGTGTATGTGTGTATGTGTGCATGTGTGCATGCATTCATGCATGAGGGGGTTGAGGACGACTTGTTAGTCAGTTATCTCGCCAAATGTTTCGTGTTTGTCTGTCGAAGGCCCCCTGGGGCACGTTCCTAGCCCAGGGCCCTCCGAGGAGGTGAGCCCACGGCGCGAAGTATGCATCGACGATACGGTGGAGGCCCTCCCTGGGGACTTCCGGGGGCTCCGGAGGAGGAGGAGGCGGAGGAGGAGGGGGAGGAGGAGGAGGAGGAGGAGGAGGAGGAGGAGCAGGAGGAGGCGAAGTAGGAGAAGGAGGAGGAGGAGGAGGAGGAGGAGAGGAGGAGGAGGAGGAGGGAGGAGGAGGAGGAGGAGGAGAAGAGAGGAGGGGGAGGGGAAGGGGGGAGGTTGGAGGGGGAGGAGGGGGAGGAGGAGGAGGAGGAGGAGGAGGAGGAGGAGGAGGAGGAGGAGGAGGAGGAGAAGGAAGAGGAGGAGGAGGAGGACGAGGAGGATGGGCTGGAGGAGTTGGAGGAGGAGGAGGAGGAGGAGGAGGAGGAGGAGGAGGAGGAGGAGGAGAGAGAAGAGAAGGAGGAGAGGAGCAGGAGGAGGAACAGGAGGAGGACGACGACGACGAGGAGCAGGAGCAGGAGGAGGAAGAAGAGGAAGAGGAAGAGGAACGAAGAGGAAGCGGAGGAGAGGAGGAGGAGGAAGCGGAGGAGGGAGGAGGAGCGAGAGGGAGGAGGGTGAAGGGAGGACGGAGGACGGAGGAGGGAGGGAGGGAGGAGGGAGGAGGGAGGAGGGAGGCGGGAGGCGGGAGGCGGGAGGCGGGAGGCGGGAGAGGGAGGCTGGAGGAGGGAGGCGGGAGGAGGGAGGGGGAGGAGGGAGAGGGGGAGGAGGGAGGAGAGGCGAGAGCGAGAGGCGGGAGGAGGGAGGGAGGGGAGGGAGGAGGGAGGAGGGATCCCCCATCTGCCCCCGTTCCCGTCGTCCCCTCCCCCCCCATCCCTTTCGCCACCCGCCGCCTCCTCCCGTTCCCTCCTCCTCCCCTCCCTCCTCCGTCCCCTCCGCTCCCTTTGCCCCCCGTCCTCTTCGCCCTCTCCCCCTCTCTCCCCCGCTCCCATCATCCTCTTCGCCCTCCTCCCCTCCTTTCCCCCCCCCCGCCCTGCCCCCCTCCCCAGTTCCCCCCCCTAGTTTTGGGCGCGCGGGGGAGGCCCCGAGACTCTGGCGGAGCTTCCTTTCAAGTGCCGCGCGGTCCAGGACGCGGCCGCGGTGGACTGCGAGGCTCCGGTGGGAAGTCGTCGCCGTAGGAAGAGGACGATTGTGATGATTATGATGATGATGAGGAGGAGGAGGAGGAGGAGGAGGAGGAGAACGAGGACGAGGAGGAGGACGGCGACGACGACGACGACGACGACGAGGATCAGGAGTTTCGGGACGGGGCGCAAGAGGAGTTCAGTGCGAGCGCAAGCGCTGTCGTCGGCGATAGCCCACGCTGCAGCCATTGCAGGAGGGGGAGGAGGAGAAGGAGGAGGAACAGGGGAAGCAGAGGAGGAGGAGGAGGAGGAGGAGGAGGAGGAAGAGGAGGCGGATGACTCGTATCTAGCGCGACTGTTACTTCGCGGCCCTACGGTATTGATGAGACTCTAGGACCCGGAACTACGGCATGGAACAGGGACGACATACTACGGATGTGAGACCACTTGGGTGCCACCGACAAGCCGACCGAGTCAGCCGACATATACGACATCTTACAAGCAGCGCGCGCAGAACCCGACATGTTCGCGACCATAGTAGCAACAACAGCCACAATACATCTACGACGACAGGCGGACCAAACCCACCCGGAACAATTGTGCAGAGCCCCCGGGCCATGCGAAACCACATTCGAATTGCCACCAACATCAGGCATCCCACCGCCACCGCACCCACCCCTTCATGCGCTACCAATGCGGAGGAACCCCCACCAAGAAGAACGTCTACTACGCCCACCTCGGCAAGCACCACAAAAACGGGACCAACACGATGGGCACGAGGCTCCACATGCTTGACGTGCAATTACGACAGCAGTCCAATCGGACAACCAATAGGAGACTCATCGCAACCGTACAATAACTAGCTCCCCAGCGAGCCAATATCAAAGCAGGCAAACCACCGGATTACGCCCACATTCCCAACTACAGAACGGACATCAAGGACATGAGTGCAATTCACGACAAAATCGTACCTGTGGAGCCACCAGCAGCAGACAGAAACACGACCAAACCAACCATGCCGCGACCCGTGAGACAGCCAACGCGCTTCGTTCTGCACCTCTATAGTGGGCACAGACGGGAAGGATGGGGCATTTCCAATCGGCATGCAGCACGCAGGTCTACGCGCTGTCCGTCGACATCGCCAACCATGTCCCAGCTGGGGACCCCGCGAACGACTTCTGGATCAACCAGGTGCGGGAAGGAAGAACCTTTGCCATTATGGCTGTGCCACCGCGCGGTACATGGAGCGCAGCAAGAACGAGAGACCTGCCCAATGCCAAGCACCAACCTCGACCATTGCGGAGCAGGTCAGCCCCAGGGCCTGAGCTACCAGACGGAAAAGAATAACGACCATATTGGCGTCGGCAACGAGCACCTACGCGCCCCGATCTTCATGGCGTGCGTAACATGCGCCACGGGGATACGGGCCATCATGGGGCACCCTGGAGTGATCCATGATAGAAGACAAGTGCCGAGCATTTGGCCATCACCAGAGGTAGACCACCTTCTACGTCGACCCAAAGTGCGACCATCGCGCGATGGAACAACTGGCCCGCGAACCGACAGGCCCATTCGGGATTGGTGTCCCAGGCCCCCCCTCGTCTCTCTTTGCAAAGACCAGGAGATGCAGGTGCGTCCGCGGATCAGGGGTCCACCCGCCGCTGCTTGGACGCGACGGCGGCGGCGCGTGGCGAGGCGCAGCAGCCGATATTGACCCGACCGAGCTTAACGAGATACTGGCAGCATCAGTGTCTGAGGCAATGAGGAGGAGATGGGCGGCGACACCAACGACGTCAGAGTGGCAAATCGAGGAGGCGCACTCACCGTTCTACGCCCCGAGGTCGACTTTAGATGCAGCGTGGATTGCACTGGCCAGCGCCACCTCGCACAGACAGACCAGCGTTCTACGCCAACCTGGCACGACGAGCTCAGCGAACTCCGACTGCCACAACGCGATTGACAGTGACTAATTAGCCAATTGCGCGGCCTACATGATTCGGGGCTTGTCCCCTGATAGGCGCCGCCTCAACTCAACCTTGAGCTGCGTCTGCCCGGGGTTCTCAGCGCCCGACCTGAGGGCGGGGTGCCCCCCCCAGCAGACAAGTGACGCACCGGGGCGACTACGTAGAGCAAGACCAGCCCATCGATCGCGTTTCTATCCCCGCAGCATCATGCCCCCCTCCATCAGATTTCTTCTTGCGGCAGATGGCTCAACGGCCCGGGCGCCGCGTCGCCTGCCCGAAATTTGAGCAGCGCAATTCGCCTTGAAACCCTTTCCGTCATGGAGCCAGCTGTCGACTTCAATTGGGGCCGGCAGCTGGGCAACGGAGTCGCCCCATGCGCGGCGACGATCGGCTGCGGGGTCTTCGACCTACGCCCAGATCAGGATCGCGAAGGGCCGCAAAGAAGGCCGCAAATAACCTTGCGACTTGCCCAACCCATCGGCGCCAAGTGATGGCGCAAGGTGCGCCGACAAGAATGTGGCCGCAACGCTGCAAGAGTCTGTGCGCAGCGCGTGCGTCGCGCGAAGTGTTCGCGGCCACGTGCAAAAAAGGCCAGGGGGCATTGTTTTGGGAAGGACATGCGCTGGGGGGCCCGGGGCGGAAGAGCAGCCACTTCGGCAGGAACAACGAGGCGATGGCGAGGTCTGTGTGGGATCTGCGCGGGGCCAAACTGCGCTGGCCCTCCCAGCGCCCGTCGAAAGGAGCGGCCGTTTCACACTTCGCGGCCCCCAGGAATGGCGAGGTCCAGGTTGAGACTGCGCGGGGTCCCGCTGTGCTGCCCCGCCAGGCAGCCTTCGAGAGTGGCGACAGTTTCGCACGTCGCAGCCCCCCCAGGGGTCGAGATGCTCATCATGGGTCTGCGTGGGGCCCCATTGCGTTGGCCACCCCTGCAGGCTTCTAAAGCGGCGACAGTTTCACACTTCGCTGCCCCCCCCAGGGGCGGCGAGGTGCATGTTGGGCTTGCGCGGGGCCCCGCTGCGCTGGGCCCCTGGCAGCCCTCGAAGACGACGCGTCGCACTTCGCAGCCGCCCAGGGCTGGCGAGGTCCCGTTGGGGCCTGTACTGGGCCCCGCTGCGCAGCCCCCCCCCCCCAGCAGGCAGGCGGGGCGGGGCAGCAGCTGGCGCCCCCGGCAGGCTGGCGCATACGGGCGCAGGCAAGTGAGAGGGGGGCGGAGGGCGGGCCAGGGTGCTGGCGACCCCAATGCCCCATGCAAAACGAGAGCACAACCGAAAGAGGGCGGGGGAAAACGCATGGCAAAGACAGCAACTGCAACATCATGACAGCCGCGACGTTGCATCCGAGTGCAGCAGCAGAGTTCCGGCGGGAAGAACCGCAGAGGTTGCTGCGAGGCCAGCGCGACCGACCTGGCATGGATTTCCTCGCCCATATACTTTTCGGCGACAGGCGACTCGACCCGCGCGTTGGCAGCGTCGGCAGCGCGGGCGCTAGATCGAGCTCAAGAAGGACAACAATTTGACGCGCTGTCCAATGCGCACGCCTGCGCGGCCTAAGAAGTTGGACGGGCATTCGCCCCAACCAACGCGCCGAGAGGGCGGTTAAAGACTTTCTGCCCCCGCGCCACTCTGCACCGGTATACTTGGCGGCCGCCTTTTACGGATTGTAGACAGACGCCGCCGAGAAAGCCGACGACGCAAGGAATTAATTCTTCGGCGTGGGCCTCAGACGCGTTCATAGACTCCATGGACCGCCACCGCTCAGCCGTTCTGACCCATATACCACATTACAAGACGGCAGCATGGGTCAGACCCAGGAGAGACGCTTCAACTAACGACGCGGCCCGACGAGCTTTGATCGCTACCCTTCCATGGGAAAGAGCAAAGGACATGGCCGATAATACCCTGATCTACGTTGCGCCTCCACAGGCAGGCCCACGAGGCGCGGAGATTTCCAGCGACGACCAGATCCACGAGGTCATGGCCACGCGGGAACAGAAACGAGCAGATCTACGAGATGCAGGAAGAAAGGCGATCCACGCACCATGTCATTGACCAGAAAAACAACGTGCCGGACCCAGACGAAGCCATGCATTTTCTCTCCACGTGACCGACGCTATGGCAACCATGGGGGCGCAGGCCTTGCGCTGACGAGGCGACAACTTGATCTTCGAGAAGGGCAGTTTCCAGATGGCGCCGCAGACTCAAGCTGGGCCCAGCGCCGCAGATAGGGGGCCCCGACGGAAACTTAGTGCCGCTGATGGAAGCTAACGACGATAAGGTTAGCGGGTCTTCATGCATTGCAGCGCCGAGCACGGAGCCCCTATCAAGCGTTTCAACGAATTGAACGAGAGGCGCGAGCTGCAGCTGGGGCTGCCGTCTACCAGAAGCTCACAGTAGCCGACGGCCCATGGGGCACAATTCCACCTGCCAGACGTCGCCACATACGAGGATGGAGTCGATGGCCAACGCGCCGCCACCAACGTGCCCCCCCGCTTTCGAGACCCTGTCACGCGACCGCCTCGGCCAGACCCAGCGCCGCCATGGGGGGCGCCAGAATCTATTTTGGAACGCGGCATGGCGAGGGCCACGTTCGCGGACATTTGCGACTTCATGCCCCGCGTAACGCTCGATGCGCGAGCCGAAGCCAAGAGGCAGCTGACCAGCATGGTGGCCTACGACAGCTCCGAGGACGCGCGCCGAGGGGAGACCGAGTCGAAAAGTGTCGCAACTCGCAGACCGACTAGCGACGCCATCCCGCGCGCTGACAATTTGCAAATGGCCAGACAAGACCGAGCGACACCACAAAGCCGGCATGCCGAGTCATACCGGTCAGCCAGACGCACGTCGCACCCAATCAAGCAGGCCCACCACTACCGACTATCCATTACCACCTTTCTACCCACAAGACAGCGTGACATTGGGTGAGCTCGCCCTAGCACGAACCCTCAACGTGCGAGACTCCCCAACTGACCAGGGACGACATGGACAGCCTCGAGAACAACATCAGCTTCCTCGGCAACGACGAGGTGGTGAAGCTGGCCGCCTCAGACAACCATCAAGGGTGCCCG